GTAGTCAAGTAGCCCTATCCCAGACGAGGGCATGATGCCTCTTTGGCTGCCTTTTTTTTTTTTTTTAACCTTTTAAGTTTGTATTTATTGACTTTAGAGGCATCAATTTGTTGTTTGGCTTATTTATGCATTCACTGGTTGATTCCTGTATGTGGCCTGACCAGGGAGCAAACCCACACCTTGATGTATCAGGACAATGCACTAACCAACTGAGGTACCCAGCCAGGGCATCTGTCTGCCTTTTTAAAACCACTCTGTGTTCCTGTTTGTGTATGGGCCTCCTGATGAATTCAAGGGATCTTCAGCTAGACAGCTTGAGGTGTTGGGGGCTCACTGATTTCCCTGACTCCCCTCAGGCAGAGCCCTGTTTCCATGCCTCTTTGGATGTGTACTGAGAGGTCCAAATTTTGTGGTAAAACCTCCAGAAATGAGTTTCAGGAAGTGATACCAACCTGTATTTATATAGAACTATGGTGCTTCCTGACTCCTACCTTCAAGATTCTGCAGAATTTGCCCTGGCCAGTGTGGCTCAATGGATTGAGTACCGACCTGTGAATCAAAAGGTTGCCAGTTGGATTCCCAGTCGGGACACACGCCTGGGTTGAGGGCTGGGTCTCCAGTTGGGAGCACTCAAGGGACAACCACACATTGATGTTTCTCTCCTCTCCTCCTCCTCCCTTCCCTTCTCTCAAAAAATCAAAACCTTTTCTAAAAGAAAGATGTAGATTCTCAGCAGGTCTAGAGTGGGATTCAGGAAATTAACATTTTTTTGAAAAATGGGTATCTGATGAAAGGTCTGTCTGTCCTTTCTACTCCCCACAGCCTCCCTGTTTCCATCCAGTTTATTATATATTTCTCTTTTTAGATTATAACATACCAGAAAATACATCTGTAAATATACTTACTCAATGTTTTCTCTGCACGTGGGTAGCATAGATTACTTATTCATCTGCACTATGCTTTATTCCCCCAATCTCTGAGATTGTTATGAATCGGTGTAATGAGTCTTTGTTCTTTTTCATCACTGTGTAATAGTCCATGAGATGGATGTATTGTCGTTCATTTATATCCATCTATTGATAGACATGTAGGTCCTTTCCAACCTCGTGGTCATGCTTTCAAATAAGTTCCTCAGAGTGGGATTGCTGGGTCGTGGGCTCTGGGCATTTGCAACTTTGAGAGCTGTTGACTACCCTCTATAGGGATTGCCTGTTCACACTTTCAGGTAGCACTGTATGAGAAAATACCTAGCCCTGGCTGGTGTGGTTCAGTGGATCGCTGGCCTGTGAACCAAAGGGTCACTGATTCAACCCCCAGTCTAGGGCACAGGCCTGAGTTGCAGGCCAGGTCCCCAGTAAGGAGCGCATGAGAGGCAACCACACATTGATGTTTCCCTTCCTAAAAATGAAATTTTAAAAATCTGAAGAAAATATCTATAGTGTCTTTACAAAACTGTAGACAGCTATTTAATGTGAAACAATATTCCGTTCTTCCACTCTGGATGAGGCAGCCTATGTTAGTCCATCTGTCATTAGGGTCTGGGAAAGTTGTCAATCTTTTGATGATGGAAAATCCTTGGGTCTAAGTAAAGGCTGCTGGGGTAGGGTCCCTCCAGGCCTTGGCCTGACTCTGGCCCAGTCCTTGCCCCAGGTGTCTCCTGCCCTCCGGGCCTCCCTTCTCCATTCTAGTCCAGAGTCACTCCTAGCTGCTGGTATGTTTTATTCCTGAAGATACATGTGATGAAAACCCCTTACCCAACTCCTTCCTGGCTGGTGACATCAATGCCGGACTCCTGCCCAGAACCCACTACTCAGGCCAGACTGGATTGGCACGCTGAATTCCCCAGAACATGACACCTTATCTCCTTGCCTTTGCTCATACACTTCTGCCTGAATGCCCTCTCCTCTCCTTTGATGAACTCCAACTGGTCCATCTGTCTCTCAGTTCCTGTCGCCTCCTAGTAAAGACCTGACCTTTCCCTCCCCTCAGGAGGACTGGAAGTCCCAGAGCCTGAGAACAGGACAGTGCAGGCCCGACTTGGGGCAGGCCCAGGCTACACTTAAAGGGGTTTGGGGGAACTAGACCTGGGCTCGGTAGAGTCAGAGAGAACCCAGAGGGTACTGGGAACATGGTGGTCAGACTGTGCAAACCAACTGGAGCAGGGGAGAAGCTGGACTGCAGTAGCCAGAGCAAATTAGGGAGTCAGGGATGCGGCTGGGGATGGGGCTTGCCCTGGAGCTTAACCTAACCTGAGCATTCTCCCATCTTCTATGAATAAGTCACTGTTTAGCTCTGGGCACCACTTCACCCTCTTGCTCCTCAACACAACTGGCTTCAGCTTTGATGTTGGCTGTGCTTTGTCAGCAACCCAACATTTTCTGGAGACATTAGTCAAACTGAGGTCTCTCAATCCGGAAACCCACGAAAGTCAGCAGGAAAGAGGCCAGCGCTCTCAACCTCTTCCTCAGAAGCCCGGAGCTCAGGGAGGGCCCTGCAGACCTTCAAATTGGCCTCCAGGGGGCGCCCCCGGCAATCCCAATGTTAGACATTGCAACTACCTCATTTTTTCAACTGAGAAAGGACCATCCGGCACACTGGGCTGGGAGACCCTAGGCTAAAGGGAATGGGGAACAAGGAAACTGACAGGAGGAGGAAGATGTAACTAGGGCAGAGACAAGCTTGCTGCGTGGTGGGGGTACTCCAGGGCTGGGGGCGTGGGCAAAGGTCACCCACCTTCTCATACCTCAGCAACCCACACCCTGCCTTTGGGGTATCTGCTGGTCTAGGTGGATCCCAGCCATTCCAGGGCACCTCACTACATCTGAACCCAGAGCTTGATTTCCCTCTTTGCTGTTGTCCCATTAGGTATTATCAAGGCTGCTGGGATGGATGCTATTACCTTGTCAGAATCATCTTTGAAACTAGACAGGACCTACCCAAGGCTCAGAAGCCTACTGAGTGTCCTTGGATCCCCTTTTCCATGAGCACCACCCCAAAGTCCAGTGGCTCCACATGAGACAGCACTCCTAGCCTACCTCCAGTTCTAGCTTTTGCTCCATGGGGATCTTGCCATTTGTGTCCTACCATGGGGCAGTCAGAGCCTTGAGCCCAATCCCCAGGGAAAAGAGCACCATGATGGGCTCCCCCATGTAAAGGCCACAGTCATCCCATGTCAGAATATCTCCCCAAGTTCTTGGCCACCTCAGCCCCCACGCTGACCTATGCCCCAAATTTCATCTCTGGCACCTCCAGATCTGCAGCCTCCACCCCACAACATGAGCACCTGGCTCTGCACCCATCATGGTGTCCTGGAGGCAGCCCCAGCCAGCCCAGGGCCAAGGCAATTACCCTCATGTTTCCTGGGGAACCTAGGGCTGAGGGGTTCACTAATTGAAAGGTTCACAGAGCAGGACTTGAACTCTGTACCAGAGACCCTGAGGCCTTGGCTGAGCCTGGAAGGCCTCTCCCATCCAACTCCCACCCTTCCATATTGTAAGCCCAGCACTGCCTATCCAGCCTGCCAGGATTCAAGTCTGTGCTCGGCCACTCACCAGCTATGTGGCCTTGGGGAGCCCCTAACCTCTCTGAACCTCAGTTTCCCCACCTGTAAAATGGAGATGATACAAAGAGAAACTTTTTCCTGAGGCTGTTGTACATATTAAAGTAATAAATGCATGTGAAGCCACAGCCATGACTATGAGACATACTGTCTTCCTGGATGGAGGGTGGGGAGTGGGGTGAGGGGTTGGCAAGGTCAGCACATATATAGAATGGGGGCCGGCTGTTTGGTGGTCAAGGACACCAGGCCCAAGCAATGCCATCTGCTCAGAGATGGGCCTCTCCTGTGGTAGTGGCAACAATCAAACGGTAAAAACCACACATGGCCGCAAAGGGATGGCCTGAACAGAGCCACATGTCCCCCACCAGGCCTGGACCCCACACCCACCTGTGTGAGTGTGACCTGCACAAGCCCTGGTCCTGCCCCTAGGTGAGACTCAGCCTTGGAGCTTGCCCATCAGTAAAATGAGGGAAGAGGGGATTTGTGCTGCCCCCTCCAGGCGAGATGTGGCATAATTAAAGGACTGTTACTGCCCTCTTATTGTCATCCTTACAGGAGAGCAAGGCCAAGAAAGGGAAGAAGCAGAAAAAAATGACCGAACTCAAGCCACCAAAGGAACAATAATAGGACAACAGAGTTGGTGGGCCCTGATATGTTTAGTGATAGATGTGACATCACTTCTCTGGAATGTGTCATTTATTCATTTCCCACATAGTCACTGAATTCCAGTTTGCTGGTCAAGGATCTGGAGGTCGGGACAATAAAACACTGAGGCCCAGGAGTCATATCAGGTCCTGATGGAGTCTGGGGATGTTGGTCAGGGAGGGCTTCCTGGAGGAAGGGACATAACACCAAGGTGCATCAGGATTTATGGGGACCCAGGAAGTTCTGGTATAATAACAGGTGGGAAAGAGAAAATGTAATAAAATAGAAATTAAAATAGAACGTAGAACTGTGTGAGGGGAGAGGGAAGGGAAGGAGCTAAGAGACCTGGGAAGACTGAACGCCCAAAGACCATCAAAGTGTCTGGAGAGCAGGTGGGAGTGATTTGAGTTTTCTTTTTTGGAGAGGTTTTTCCGGGTGATTCAACTTCCCCCATGCAGCCTACGGATGGTTCGAAGACAGTGGGGAGAAAAAGGAAAAAGAATCAGACCCGGAGCGCGCGTCAGTTTGGCGTCCCTTGGGGGTCGCAAGGATGCCAAGGCTCCCAGAAGCAGCCAAAGCGCCCACGGCCAGAAGGGCCCTTGGCTGCCTCCCCAAACGCCGCGATCCGCATCCGAACTCCAAGGCCGACGGCCGACCCCTGACCCGGGACAGGTCCAACCTGCACCGCCCGGCGGGGCGGGGCTGAGCGCGCTGGCTCCCGGGCCGCAGTGTCGCCGCAGCGCCTGCCCTGCCCCCGCCTGCTCCTCCTCCCCGCCCTCTTCACCCCCGCCCCTCCCGGCCGCGGTCCCGAGCGGCTCCGGAGCGGACGCCCGCGCCCAGCCTAGGTGAGCGCCCGCTCCCGGCTCCCGGGACCCCGTACCCGACAGCACAACCCCACCACCCCGCCTCTGCCTCCGGGTTCCTGCCCTGCAGCCTCTGTACTCCGGGCTGGGGTGCGCGCTCTCGGATCTCGGACTTGGAGCCAGCGCTCTGGGAGCTGGGGGTCGGCGGTCGGTTGCGGGGGGGGACGGGGCGGGGGGGGCAAGACAGGCTGGGGCGGGAGTGCCCCTCTCCCTTCTTCTCTCCCCTGCTGGCCCTCCCCGGCTTGCTGCACAGACCTACTGTGTGGCATTCTCCCTTCCTGGGCCACCCGGTCTGGTGGGGGTACCTGGACGGTGCCTAAGGGCTGTTTGAAAGGGCATCTCAGATAAAGGAACTGCACGTGCAAAGGCAGGGAGAGTGCACAAAAGGTTTGCGCTTGAGCTCCATGGGGGAGGAGGTGAGGACCTCTAGGACCCCAAACTCGAATGCCTGGCTGAGGAGCTCGGATGCCATCCAGAGTTAGGCTGGAAGCCACCGAGGGCCTGAGCCGGGCAGGAGCTTCCCATGGTGGGTATGGAAGGACCCATGTGACCCTTGGTGCAGAGTGGGACCAGGAGGAAAGAAGGGCTGTACAGAGGAGTGAGGAGAGCTTCCTCCCCAGCAAACACCAGCTGGGGCCCTGGGAGGGAGGTCTAGGACAGGACACGGGGTTCCTAGTGGGTAGTTAACACTCAGGTACTGTTACAGTTTTTTTGGCATTGGGCAGCTTGCAAGCAAAGGACATCACTCTGCAAAAAAAACTTGGGGTCCTCGCCTGTCATGCCCCTGGCAAGGACTTTTACCTTTGAGTGGAGGCGTCTGGGCCTGCGGGAGGCAGGAGGGCGCCAAGCTGGCTTAACACACAGTAGGCCTGGAGCAGGCCTGGAGAAGATTCAGTCCCCAGCAAATCTGTTTCCAGGCCTAAGGCTCTGAAGGGTCCAGACACCTGGGCACCTAGGATAGGAGGGAACAGCCTAGGCAGACACCTGGTGGCAAGTTGAGGCCCCACTTTTTCTGGGATCTGTGGTTCAGGCTGGAGAGGTGGGCAGGCAGCTAGTGGTGAAGCCAGGATCTGGAGCGGGCCCCCCTTGTGCCCAGGGAGGGTACAGGCAGTGCAGGTGGTAGCCATGCTTTACAGACCTGCCTTGGAGATAGTAGGGAAGAGAACATGGGTGTGCCCAGGTTGCTTTTGGGTGCCATGGCCTCATGGCCTGTAATGGGCACCACTAGGGCAGGTAAGATCAAGTGCCAGGTAGTAGATGGTCCTTTCGCAACCTTTTCCTCCTATCTTCTTGGCCCCCTTGTTCTCAGGTACCCATCCAGGGTCCTTGCTGGGATCTGGACTTGACCCAGTGAGCCTCAGCCTCACCTCAAGTTAGACTTCAGGAAGAGCTGCCAGAGGAAACCAATGGGATGACTGTGGGATAGACTGGGAGGAGGTCAGTTGTAAACAGGGCAGCTAAACTTTTGTCCTGGGTCTTCCAAAGTCCAGTCTGTAAGCTGCACCTTCTGTATGGCCCATCCTGTAGCCTTGAGGTCTCCTTGGCAGCGGCAATCTCTCTGTTGACCTGGTGACCCCTCCCACAGAGAGATACACTGGCTTTTTGGGTCCCTGCCCCTCTTGGAGCTAAAGTGGGAGAGGGGTGGGAGGTCAACAAGATGCCCTTACCTGCTGCTTGACCTTGGCAAGTCCTTGGCCCCTCAGTTTTTCCATCTGCTGTTGGGTATGACCTCAGCACCATGGGCCTGGTGGGCAACTGTAGAGCGAAGGTAGAGGGGAGCTCATGGTTGCAGGGCATGGTCTGTGGCAGGACTATGTGCCTAGCCTCTCTTTCCCCCAACCTAACCAGGCCCAGGCTTGGGCTTGCTGCCCACTTCTGTTCACCATGGAGCTGGGTTTCCCTGGGGACCAGTGTACTGGCCCAGCCCCACCCCCCAGCCCTCCTGGCGGCAGCTCACACTGGGAGAAGGGGTGGAGGTTGGGCTGCCTCCTGGACCCCTGCCCCCTTGCCCTGCCTTCCAGGGCCTGGCAGGCTGGGTCTACTGCTGGGCTGGGAGCAAGAAGCAGTGGCTGCCCTTGAAGGAGGTGGGTATCCAGGGGCTGGCAGCCAGGGTGGGTGCAGGGACCAGAGAGAACTAAATGTCATCCCATTGTAGGAAGGAGAAACCGGAGGACAGGAAGGCTCTGATCTGCCCAAGGGGATGTGAGGTTTGACCCCAGCCATGGTGGCCTCCCTGGAGAAAGGAGGGTCCCAGGGCTCCCAGGCTCCAGGATTTTGAAGGGGCAGCAGAAATCAGGTCAGATTTCCTGGACAAGGCAGCTGTGGGGCTGAACCTAAAAGTCTGGCTGAGGGGCTGCCCAGATGGTGGGTACAGCCCCGGGAAAGGTGGGAGTGGGGAGTGAGGGTGCTGAGCCTGGAGGGGAGGTTCCTCCCAGGGACCCGTTTTTTCTCTGGGGTCTGGCTCCCCTTTACGTAGCAGTACCCAGCTCCAGCGCAGGCCTGTTTCAGAAGACCCTCCCCTCACAGCATCTATCTCTGAGCCCTGATCCCTGTTGATGCCCCCTTTCCCTCACCCCCACAGGTCCTGAAGGCAGCTCCTGCTGGGATGGCGACACCAGCATTTCTAAGGGTTGTGGGGGGTCCAGCCCCACCAGGGGCACTCTAGCCTCCCACAGCCGACCATCTGTGCGCCTGCCTCCTGCCCAGCTGAGGGCCACTCGCCATGGGAGGCTGCTTCTCCAAGCCCAAGCCAGGTATCTCCTCTCCTTTTGCTTCCCTCTCCCTCCATTCTCCACCCTCCTTCCCTCCGCTCTCCATCCCCGGCCTCCTTCTGCCACCTTCCTCCTCCCCCTCCCCCACTGCCTCCGAAGTAGGTCAGGCTGGGTGGCAGCCTCTGCTGCTGCTGAGAATGTTAATGTGCTGCAGGCAGGAGGGGGTTGGGGCCAGGCTCCCCTCCCGGGACCCTTCCTCTTCATCTAGGGCTTTGGGTGCTGGTGATGGGAACAGCAGCTGAATCTTGGAAAGGGGAAGGGAGGGTTCCTCCTGCCACAGGGTGGGAAGGGCAGCTCTGTCCCCTAGGACCGGAGAAGGGGATACTGAAGACAGAGACCCTCAGCCATTGTGTGACCCAGGTTATCTCTCTGAGCCTCACTTTCCCTCTCTACAAATGAACCCGACCTTTCAGAGTTGCTGTGAGAATGGAGTGGACAAGTCCCAGCCCTCCCAGCCCTGTCCACCTTTTCTGACCCCTGTGTGACCTTGGGCCACCTCCTCAGCCTCTCTGGACACACTTTCCCATGTGTACAGGAAATCCCCACCCTGAGCTGGCAGGTGTTCTAGGGTGCTGGGGAGGCCTGGGTTTGCTCTCTACTGGTGACTCTTCTCTGCTGGGCTCTCCTTCCGGGCCTCCTTTTCCTCTTCCATCCTCACAATGCCAGGAAAGCAAGGTAGTGCAGGCATGTCACAGATGAAGAAACCGAGGAGGCTGAGAGCGGCCTCTCTGGCGCCCAGTCAGCGCCCCACCCACCCCGTCCAGGCCACCCTGCCCAGTTTGGCTCGCCCCAGCTCCCCTTACCTGATACCCATCGGCTCCATTACCTTAGAACGCTTGAGACTTTTCTCCTTTTCCTGGGTCTGAGGGGGAACTTGGGGGCAAGAGGAGATGCGTGATGCCCTGCCAGGCAGAGGGACTCACCCACACCTGCTCCCCCATCACTCCTGTGCTGTGGACACTCAGCCTTGGGCCAGATCCCACCACCCTCCCTGCCTACATGTACGACCTGGGCAAATGATATCCACTTTCTTGACCTCAGCCTTCCCCCATCAGCACTGGGGCAGGAGGATGCAGGCTGTCCCCAGCTGGCAGGAGGCTCTGGGCAGAAGATGTCACTTTCTTCTTTAAAGGAATGCAAAGGGCTGGCTTGCCTGGGACCCCTGGCTCCTAGTATAGGGGCTGATCACACTCACCACACCAGAGGAAATGCTAAAAACTTGGCCTCTTCAGTTCAAATCCAGCCTCCCTTCCTGGGTATGTGACTGGGCAGGTGGCTTCACCTTTCTGAGTCTCTGAGTTCTCACTTATAAAATGGGGTTAATTGTACACCCTGTATAGGCTGTAGTGCTTGGCACATGGTCTGGCACGTAGGCAGCACTTGCAAAACATTATTATGTCCTCTTTTGGGGCTAGGCTGTCTGCAGCCAGGACTCCCCTGTGGGAATATGGCAGGAGGGCAGGCGCTCAGACCCCAGGCACACATCCTGGGCAGGTCAGGGGTGAGGCTCAGGGGATTTCAAGGTGTGGGAGTGAGAGCATTTGACCACGAGGGTTCAGCTGAAGTCAGAAGGGACCACAGGGAAACCAGAGCAAATAGAAGATCTTTGTGCAAATTCCTCACTTTCTACCTTGCTCCATTCTGTGGCTTTGAGCACGTCAGCATATACTTCCTGAGCTCCCTCCCCACTCCCCATGCTTCAGCAGCACTGTGTTCCTTACAGAAAGTGCTCCAGGCCAGACTCTTACTAAAGCTCAGAGCTGGGAGGAGGTGCACCTCTCCTGGTATCTGGTCACCTGCCTTTTATTAGGCCACAAGTGCTACCTAAAGGCTTTCCCTCTTCATCATGGCTGCCAGGAAGCTCAGAACTAACCAATCAAACCTTATTACCCAACTTCATCTGTTGAGCTTCTGCTCTGGGTTGCATGTATGATCTCCTTCAGCATTCACTGTGTCACCAAAGAGGTAGATATTCTTCTCTCTGTTTTATAACAAGGGCATCTGCCCAAAGGGGCTAAGGCAGGGGTCCGTGGTCCGGTGGGCAGCTGGGAACCATGGAGTTGGAGTTGCTTTGGTTCTTTGACTGAGCAGAGACCCTCCTCCCCATTCTCCTTCCCACCTCTGCTCCTGACTTAATGGTTTCCAGTTAGACTGCATCTGGCAGGGCCTTCTGGAAGGAGATGGACGATGAAAACAGTCTGGCTTTGCTGTTATATGGGCCCCTGCCAGGCTGTTCTTTTGAGCTCCCTCTCTAAAGCTCACATAGCTGATGTCAGCTGAGTCCAAAGTATTTTTCTTTTTAATTCTTCTGAAAACATTCTAACACTATTACATAAAGTGTGGAAAATGAAGGGGAAAATCCACTCCACCCATAACCCCCCCTGCACCTGACACAACCGCTTCAGCATGTGGTGTGCTCAGGTGCCCCTCCTGCGCAGCTGGAGTCATGGAGTGGACCTTCGCCCCTGCGGTGCCTGAGCTGGGGGCTGGAAGGATGGGAGGGCTGTCCCCCAGGCTGCCAGGCATGGGGAGGGGATTAGCACGGCATGAGATGAGGGACATGCAGGAGCTGGGCAGCGTGGGGGAGGCAACACCTGAGCTGTGTCTGGGTGGAGGGGCAGGAGTTAGCCAGGGCCAGGAGGGATGGTAGCCTGGGCCAAGGGAACTGCATAGGCCAAGGCCGGGAGGTGTGACTCTGGGTTCTTTGCTCCTGGACGGTCAGGTTTGAGGAGGAGGGGATGAGAGGTGAAGCTGGGAGATGCCTGGGACCTCTGGTGCCTTGGGAGTTGGGAGAGGCACCTCCTGCTCCCTCATTGGCCCATGCTGTGCCAGGGACTTAGTTTCCATCATTCAGCCTTCCTCCCTACAGCAGCCACCCAGGAGGCCGGATTATCGCTGCTCAAGATTCTGTTTATTGTTCCCTTCTAATTAGAAAAATACCCCAGGCACATTGTAGGGAATTTGGAAAATGTGGAAAAGTATAAAGAAGAAAATGATACTCTCCGGCTAACTCCCCCCTAGAACTCCCCCCATGGGCAGGTGGGGAAAGTGTCTTCTGTGTGGAGGTGGGTTTGGGGGTGGGGGGTGCTGTGCCCTGTCTGCTTTGTCCACATGCACTCCCCTGGGTGGGTTACCCCCAAGGCTCCAGACCCATGCACATGAAGATGCTGAAAAACCAGTGCTTGGTAAATGCTGAAGGATTCTCAAACTGGTGAGAATAGCTATTTTAAGAAGTTGAAATTAAGTTGGGTACCCTTTCAAAAAATTGTTTTTTGGTATTAGAGAGAGAGGAAGGGAGAAAGAGAAACATTGATTTGTTGTTCCACTTATTTATTGCATTTGTTGGTTGATTCTTGTATGTGCCCTGACCCGGGATCGAAGCTACTCCCTTGGTGCATTGGGATGACGCTCTAACCAACTGAGCTATCTGGCCAGGGCTTTTTTTTTTTTTTTTTTTTTTTAATTTTGAAAAAAATGTTAAACCTATGAGAAAGTTGCAAGCATAGAACATTGAAACCTTGATTTCCCATCACTCAGGTTCACCGGCCAGGATCTGAGCTACACCCATTTGAGATGCCCTATTCTCACTTGAGTCAGACCCTAAAGATGCCCCTGATCCTACAGGGGTGTCATTTTAATCCGTGGAGGACCATGCCCTTGGAGTCAGATCACGACTCAGGGCGCCAGGGCTCTTTCCTCCACACACATTCCTGGAGGAAGGGCAATTTCAGGGTTGAAGGAGCTTCGTCTGTGCTCTCCTCACTAATTTTGTTATTGATATAAAATCATGCAGAAAGCAATTCAAGCCCACCCAGTGCCCATCCCTGCTGCCCCTGCCCTCTTCCTGTCTGTTTTAAGGATCTTTGATGGTAGTGCTGGTGGCTTTCTGGAAAGGTCCGGGCATAAGGGAGAACCGCACTTAAAAGATCAGGCCCTGACAGAGCTTCTGGGGTGGTTGAGGGTGTGGGCGGGTGGAGGGGCTCACGGTGCCCCCCATCTGCCCGCAGTGGAACTCAAGATCGAGGTGGTGCTGCCGGAGAAGGAGCGGGGCAAGGAGGAGCTGTCGGCCAGTGGGAAGAGCAGCCCCCGGGCCTACCAGGGCAATGGCACTGCCCGCCACTTTCACTCAGAGGAGCGCCTGCCCGCCCCTCACCCCTACCCTGGCGCTCAGGACTGTGTGGAGGCTGCCGTCTGTCATGTCAAGGACCTCGAGAATGGCCAGTGGGTGCTGGGCCTGGTACAGGGGTCAGAGGGCCCAAGGTGGGAGGGCAAGCGTAAGGCACAGATAAGGGGCCCATGGCTAGCCATCCTGGCTACTGCCTTTGTGGCTTCTGCTGGTCGGGGCCTGGTCCCCAGAAGGCTGGAATCTGGGAGGAGGTGGTGCCTCACGTCTGGCCTGGCCGACTTCTGAATGCAGCTCCTCCCCAGGATGCGGGAAGTGGAGCTGGGCTGGGGGAAAGTGTTGCTGGTGAAGGACAATGGGGAGTTCCATGCCCTGGGCCACAAGTGTCCACACTATGGTGCACCCCTGGTGAAAGGTGAGTTGTCCGGGTGCACAGGGGAGGTGGGGGCATGCCTTCCTGAAGCGGGCTTGGCCACTGCACCATCAAGCCCCAGCTCCACCAGGTCCCAGCCCAGCCTGGCTCCTTCCTGGACCTCCAGTTCCTCATCTTTTGATGGGGTTTGGGGGTGGGGTCTCTGGGGCTATGTGGAAGGGCCAGCAGGTCCCGGGACACAGGAATCCTTGGAGAGGGACTCTTGCAGATAACCCCAGCTCAGCACTGCGCCCTCCCAGGTGTACTGTCCCGTGGCCGGGTGCGCTGCCCCTGGCATGGTGCCTGCTTCAACATCAGCACTGGGGACCTGGAGGACTTCCCTGGCCTGGACAGTCTGCACAAGTTCCAGGTGGGGCTGGGTGTGTGGTGGAGTGGGAGCCTGGGGCTACAGGGCCAGGGCCTGGAGCGCCCCCTAAAGCCTGGTTCTGAGCACCACAGCACTTGCAGGTGAAGATTGAGAAGGAGAAGGTGTATGTCCGGGCCAGCAAGCAGGTGAGGAGGTGGCTTGGGGCTCTGGTAAAAGGGAAAGCCAAAGAGGGCATCTGGGTCCAGGGAACAGCATATGCAACGTTCTGTGGTGGGAGGGAGTCCGGTGAGTGTGGCTGGGGAGCAGAGTGAAGGGTGCCTGGTGGGGAGGAGGCTGGACTGCTGGGATTATGGCAGAGGGAGGTTGACTACGAGCCCAGCTCCCAGCTGCTCCCCCACTCTCTGGCAACGCCTAGGCCTTGCAGCTGCAGCGAAGGACCAAGGTGATGGCCAAGTGCATCTCTCCAAGTGCTGGTCACAGCGGCAGCACCAATGTGCTGATTGTGGGCGCAGGTTGGTGATGGGGAAATGAGAGGCAGGATGGGATGGGGGAGAAGTGGCCCCTGACCCACAGCCCCCTCCCCTCAGGCGCAGCAGGCTTGGTGTGTGCAGAGACCCTGCGGCAAGAGGGCTTCTCAGATAGGATCGTCCTATGCACACTGGACCGGCACCTCCCCTACGACCGGCCCAAGCTCAGCAAGGTGGGAGGGTGGTGAGTGGAGGCAGGGCTCTGTCCCTGTGTGTGCAGTCAAGCTGCTGCCTGTTGGGGGGTCTGGCCAGCTGACCTCTCCACTCATGTCATGGCCTGGAGTTTGAAGATCTGGGCTTGCTGAGTTCTGTCCTGCAGCTCCTGTGTGACCTGGGGCTGGCTCCACCCTCCCTGGGCTCCAGGTCCTCTGTTGCAAAGTGGAACCATGGCTGCTTGGCTCCACCTCAAGCTGGCTCTCTCCCACAGTCCCTGGACGCCCAGCCTGAGCAGCTGGCCCTGAGGCCCAAGGAGTTTTTCCGAGCCTATGGCATCGAGGTGCTCACCGAGGCCCAGGTAGAGGACAAAGCTGGGGAACCATGAAGGGCGTGAGAATGTGTAGGCTCCTGAAGATGTGGGTGTGCTCTGCCCTCCTGGCCTTGCTGCCCAGGCACTTGGGGGTGCCCCTGGCCTGGGAGTCTGCACTGGATCTTCTTGGTAGGGTCATGGGCATATGCATAGCCCAAGTGTGTAGGGACATGGATGATTTGTTCGAGGTTCAGATGGGAGAACCTGGTGGGACTTGGGAGTATAAGGAGGGCTTTGAGGGCAAGGTGATGTCTGAAGCTTAAAGAGCGAGGAAGAATCGCCACTTGGGAGAGGAAGGACAACCAGGTATCAGGGAAAGCCCCACTGAGCTGCTTAGAGGGTCTGGCCGGGCTCTGGGCATACTGCAGGGCGTGGGCATGGGTGGCCAGGCCCAGGTCCACGCTCTGCCTGGTGGGGATTGCAGGTGGTCACAGTGGATGTGAGAAACAAGAAGGTCGTGTTCAAGGACGGCTTCAAGCTGGAGTACAGCAAGCTTCTGCTGGCACCAGGGAGCAGGTGGGAGGGTGACTCCCCTGCTGCCCTCTGTTGGACACCGGGCAGGGCACTGGCCAGGACGGGAGGGCTTAGGGTGCTAGGAGCCCCTCGCTGACACCGCCTGTGTCTCAGCCCTAAGACCCTGAGCTGCAAAGGCAAAGAGGTGGAGAACGTGTTCACCATCCGGACACCTGAGGATGCCAATCGCGTGGTGAGGCTGGCTCGGGGCCGTAACACAGTGGTCGTGGGAGCCGGCTTCCTAGGTGAGCAGCTGTGAATGCAGGGGTGGGGAGGCCAATCCCGAGGCTTTACTGGTTCTGGGAGGTACAGGGTGCCAGCCTGCTGCCCACAACCCTGGCGCAGGGATGGAGGTGGCTGCCTATCTGACCGAGAAGGCCCACTCAGTGTCCGTGGTGGAGCTGGAGGAGACTCCCTTCAGGAGGTTCCTGGGGGAGCGCGTGGGCCGTGCCCTCATGAAGGTGAGCCCACACTGTTCCCCAGCCCCTCGGAACCAGCCCAGTCTCTGCCAGGTTCTCACCCACTGCCCACTGCCCACTTGCCCTGACAGATGTTTGAGAACAACCGGGTCAAGTTCTACATGCAGACAGAGGTGTCAGAGCTGCGGGCCCAGGAGGGAAAGGTGGGCCCTTCTCCCCACCCACTGCCACTCTCTGTCCCCTCTCCCCTGTGCCCAGGAACTGGGCCCAACTGCTCATTTGCCTGCCCCCTACAGCTGAAGGAGGTCGTGCTGAAGAGCAGCAAGGTAGTGCGGGCAGACATCTGTGTGGTGGGCATTGGTGAGTGGCTGGGCAGGCGGATGTGAATGAGCAGAACCTTAGGTCAGTCCCTCCCCTTCCCTGAGCCTCAGTTTTTACATCTGTCAGATGGGGACCACAACTGTACCTACTTCAGAGGGCTGTTGGGGAATGCGTGCCCTGGGCTTGGCCAGGGCCTGGCATGGAAGGTGCTCCCGGTGGCCATTGCCCATGCATACTTGACTCCGTGGCCTGACTGTGAGGGCTGCACAACACAAACATGCCCCTCACCGGCCCCTGATCCAGTTGAGGTACCAGTCTGGGGAGGAACAGAGCTAGGAGGTGGCGGCACAGAGGCTGGGGTGGTATGGTATGCCCACCCCCATCAGGGGGCATCCTTGACCGCTTCTCAGAGGCGACAATACCTGAGGCGTAATGGGAGACACAAGTGTGTGGGGGTCCAGGCAGGGCGACAGGACACACAAAGGCTGCAGGTATGCAGCCCATTGGATGGTCAGTCTGGGCCTGGGCTGTGGAAGTGAAGGGTGTGGGTCATGCAGAACAATGAGATGAGAGAAGTGAACACAGTGGCCCCATTCTGTCAGGTGCGGTACCCTCCACGGGCTTCCTGAGGCAGAGCGGCATCAGTCTGGATTCCCGAGGCTTCATCCCTGTCAACAAGGTGGGGCTTGGTAGGGTGGGAAGGGTACCTGGCTGGGGGCAATGAGAAGTCCAGACCAGGGCCCCCTTCCCACCCACGGAGTCCTGGACCCTTTCCTCACAGATGATGCAGACCAACGTCCCAGGCGTGTTTGCAGCAGGCGACGCTGTCACCTTCCCCTTGGCCTGGAGGAACAATCGGAAAGTGAACATCCCACACTGGCAGATGGCTCATGCCCAGGGTATGGCCAGCCCCACGGCAGGATAAGGGCGGGGAGGCTGTCTCAGGATCTCGGCCTCCCCCAGGCCCATCCCTCGGTTGCTGGCCTTGGGTCCTGGTTGCTGGCTGCAGAACCATTCAAAGCTCTGTGGTGGCCTGTCTGGGTCAGCCTCATCCAGATGATCGTCAAGGCAGGTCACAGAGCAAGGCTTGCGTGTGTGGCCCATCTCCAGAGACCTCCCACCTGTGCCCTCTGGACACCCCATCCAGCCGCTACAGGGCCCCACCCCCACTTGTCCTTCCAGTAGCCTCGTCTCTTCTTTTGTACTCAAAGGCACACATGCACCAGGGAGAGAAAGGGGGATTTAGTAGGACATGGGCCAGCTCCCCACTCAGGGCCGCTGTCTCCCTTGGGCCACTTGATTGGCTGGGAATCCAGATGCCTCATGCAGGCCCCTGGGAGGTGGCCATCTGGGCTTGGGAACCTGGGGCTCAGTGGGGAAACTGTGGTGCTCTCTGAGGAAGAGATTTCCCCCCTCACCAAGCCTCTGAAGATGTGCTCACTGTACACCCCTGGTCTGGGCCCCTGAGCTGCAGGTGCCAGCAAGTTAGCTGCCTTACAGGGAGGACCCTAGACTCCCTGCATGCACCTTCCCTCCCCTCTGCCTTCATGTTATCTGAGCCTCTGCCGCCTGAAACCTCACTCCTGGTACCAATTTCTGTTTAGACCCAAGGTCTGAGGTTCGTGCTAGGTTTTAAGAAGCAAAGGCTATTGGTCAGTGCAATTAACATTTAATGGAAGGATGGGGGGTGGGGCTTCATGAACTAGGAAGCTGTGCCACGCTATTCTCTCTGGGGCCCTTGGTGTGGCTGTCATGTCTGCTTCCGGGTTATTTATGCCTGCTCTCTTGCCTCCCTCTCCAGACCTGATGTGTCTTATTAGTTGTCTGTGTGCACACCTGAGATGGCTCAACAGGCCCACATCCCCAAGAAGCCCACCTTCCAGACCCAGGGCACTTCATTCAAATTCTCCAGAGAAGCAGTCTAAGTGGCCAGCGTTGAGCTAGGTGTCCCCCTCTGTACCGATCGGCTGCAACCAAGCTTGGGCAGTGGGCTGCACAGTAGTGTGCCTCTTGACTTCTGGGGAGGCAAGAAGTAACCCCACGTATGAGGAGTCCCAGAGAGCCGGAAGCAGGCAGTATAGGGGAGATGCGGTCTAGGGTCGGAGCTTTCAGTATTCTGGGTCCTGCAGGGCGCGTGGCGGCCCAGAACATGTTGGCGCAGGAGGCAGAGATCAGCACCGTGCCCTACCTGTGGACAGCCATGTTCGGCAAAAGCCTGCGCTACGCCGGTAACTGAACCTCGGGAAGGGGCGGGGCTAAGGTGTTACCAGAGTGCGGAGGTGGGGCTTGGAGTTGGGGCGGGGCTATGAGCATCCTAGGGGCGGGGCCACGACAACTATAGAAAGCAGTAAAGCACTCACTAGGGCCAGGGCCAAGGGCTACATAAAAGGGCCAAGAGAGCTAGGCCTGGAGAGGGGTACAGGGGGCAGTTAGGAAGATACAGGACACTGACCCAATGGAGTCCCATCCCTTTTGCTGAGCTCGCGTGGGCGCTGCTCCCCTGCCTGGCCCACAGGGTACGGAGAAGGCTTCGACGACGTCATCATCCAAGGGGACCTGGAGGAGCTGAAGTTCGTGGCTTTTTACACCAAGTGAGAGCAACGGGGTGGAGCAGGGGCACGAAACAGCAAGAGCTCAGTCGGCAGGGGGAACTCATCCCAGAGAAGCCTTGCTCAGTCTTATCTGAAAGGTAGACTGAGTGGCGCAGGAACAAGCTAGGCAGGAGACACCACTGAGGAGAGGTGAGGAGATGGGGCGGTGATTACTCCAGCTGCCACACACTGAGGCAGGACATTTTATCGTCAGCACAGTTCTTTGAGGTGGGTGTTGACAGCCCGCATTTACACTGAGGAAAGTCACACAGAGAGTGGGAATGCCAGGACAGAAGCCTGAACCCCAGTGAGGAGTGTGGCTGGAACCTCCATGGAGGTCCCACAGGAGCCTGAAGCCCATGCTGGGCTAAAGTGCAAAGCAAGAAGGGTTGGGTGCACAGGACATTCCTGTTGTTCTGGGTAAGATTCCTTCCTGGGTCTCTGGTGGACAGGAGCATGTCAGGGTCTCCAAGAAGAGGGGCCACTGCTGGGCAGTCACCAGACTCAGCCATGCTCTCCCTGCAGAGGCGACGAGGTGATCGCTGTGGCCAGCATGAACTATGATCCTATCGTGTCCAAGGTGGCTGAGGTGCTGGCCTCGGGCCGTACCATCCGGAAGCGGGAAGTGGAGTGAGTGTGGGCATTGGAGGCCTGGGACAGGGAGCAAGAAGTCTACCGAAGGACTGGCTCACCCTTCCCATGGTAGTCAGCTGCCTCACAGCCCTACAGGGCCAGTCCCCCTACTCTTGGTCTCCATCAGTATGGTGCTCTGTGGGATATCGGTTGTGATTTGGGAGTGGGCTGGTTATATGTGCTCTTGGGAGACTGAAGGAGAAGGGGCCATGTCCCAAGGCAGGGCCAGTGCTGTGGGGAGGGGTGAAGGCGCACTGTTTGGGCAATCACTGAGCCTGGGACCTCTGACTGGACAGGGTAATGTTGAGCCTGGAAGAAGCCAGTTGGGGGAATGCAGCCAGTGATGGCCCTGGGGTTGCCCTGCACAGAGGTGTGGGGTGGTTGTTTGGGGTCTGGGAGACACTGGACACCAGTCATTATCCTCATCCCAGCATGGTGTCAATGGGAGTCCCCCTGTGGGCCTTACCTGCCTGCAAAGCACCCCAGGGACTGGGAAAAGCCTGGAGGCCATGGTATGGGGGTAGGTCTCAGGCTAGAAACAATGAAGAACTAAGAGGGGGCATAAATGACATGCTCTTCCCTGGCCTTCTCTGTCTCTCTCTCTTGCCCTCGCAAAGGCTGTTTCTGCTGCACAGCAAGTACGTGTGTCCTGTCCTTCCTGCTGACTATTCTGAGCCTTTCCCATCTCAGCCCAGAGTCTGCACCTGATGGTTTTTCCCCCTTTGCCCAAGTACACATCCCTGCTGGGCACCAGGGACTGGCACAGAGCAGGCCCCTGCCATCCTCAAGGGCGAGCTGCTCATGGTGCTGAGAGGGGAGACTGCTCTCTTCTGCCCTGACTCTTCCTCCCTTCATTTCCGCAGGACTGGCGACATGTCCTGGCTCACGGGGAAAGGATCCTGAGCTTGCATGCAGCAGACTTAAGCAGGCATGCTGGTGCACCAGGGACAGAGGCCAAGCCCTGGGGACAGGTGCCAACCTCCAATTTCCCAGGATCCCCCAGGGCAGAACCTGAGTCCTCCTAGTGCTTGTCATCAGCTGCCTGGCTCACCTCCAGAGACACCTCTACTGCTTCCAAGCGATGCTCACCACCCAAGGCCTGGACTGCCACCCACATTTGGTAGTGGAGGTGGGAAAGGCCCTGCCTCGTCTCCCTCTATTGGGACTGGTCCCCTGTAGGACCTTGCAACATATTAGACATTATCTCAAAATTAAAACGCACACATTTGCAGATCTGTGTGACTTCCATTGTAATTGGACAAACATTCATGAGGGAGAACGTAGACAGGGAAACAAGCACAACCTCAGACTGCTCAGTCCTCCATCACTGAATGCCCAGCGGAGGGAGCAACAGATTCTGCCCCCTGGGGGGTTAGGAAGGGCTTCTCCAACCAGTCTAGGATCTAGATTTTGAAGGAAGGGCATTCCAAGTAGAGGAGACGGCAGGTGCAAAGGGCTTGAGACAGGACGTGCTTCTTCAGGGCTCAGAGACAGCACTTCTCTGGCAGTTTGGGGGCATTTACCCACTTAGGGCTGTAGGAGCTAGGTCTGGAAACAGACCTCACGCTTCTCAAGGCAGCCAGAGCTTCCTGAATCCACGTATCGCAGGTGAAGAAACTGAGCGTCTGCTATAAAGTACAAATGAGAATACAGAACCTCTGCACCACGCTGCCTCTCAGCCAATAAATAACACCGGGGGCAGACGCCAGGGCTTCGGGCCGGGGGCCCGAGCAGGAAGGGGATGGGCTGCCGGCGGAGGCCTCTGCTGCGAGCTCGGAACCCTCCACCTGGGATCCCGGAAGCGGCGGACGGTCCCGGCCGAGCCCCGCTCAGACACGGCATGCCGGGAACGGTGGCCGATCTGGCGGCTTGTGGCCGGCAGGCGCCGGGGGAGTGCAGTCAGACGGGGCTGGGACCCGGCACCGGCACTCCGCGGGAAACGTTTCCCAGAAGCTTCGGCAGTTGTCGCAACCTCGGTTCTTCGGGGCCGCGCTCGCCCTTAGGATCAAGGGGACCGCTAGGCTAGTCGGGAAGCTCAGAGCAAACCGGAAGTGCCGCGCCCTCCGCCCAGAGCTCGCCGGGAAATGCAGTCCCTCTGGGCGACCCAGGGCGGTGGCCGCGCGTCTCGCAGACACGGCGACGGCTCGGTCGTGAACACAGGATGGCTGGGACGGGGGGTTCGGGGGGTCCCATCGGGACCGGGGCCCTGGCGAGCGGCGCGCGGTCCAAGGTAGCCCCGAGCGTGGACTTCGACCACAGCTGCTCGGACAGTGTCGAGTACCTGACGCTCAACTTCGGGCCCTTCGAGACAGTGCACCGCTGGCGGCGCCTCCCGCCCTGCGACGAGTTCGTGGGGGCTCGGTACGGCGTGGTTCAGGGAACTTGGGGCGAGGGATGTCCGAGGGGGTTTCGTGGCGGGTTCCAGGGGCGAGGCTGGGGCGGAATCTGGTAATGGAGAGGAGTGGTGGTGTCCAGGACGATGCCCAGGGCAATGGCCTTTTTTTTTTTTTTTTTTTTTTTAATTTATTGGGAGTGATATTGGTTAATAAAATTATATAGGTTTCAGATGTACAGTTCTGTACATCATCTATATAATGTGTGTTCACCACCCCAAGTCAAATCTCCTTCCATCACTATTTATACCTCTTTTACCCTTTTACCTCCCCGACTCTGTGGCAGGGGTTTTGAAGGAGTCCCAGAGCCGCTTCACTCGGGGCAGGGTTATGTTGTTGTGACTCTCCAGCTGGGTTCCTAAGTGCTCTGCAGTGGAATGCGGAGTCCAGAGAGTCCCAAGGCAGTGTCAGGGGGTCCCCACATGCAGGGCTTTTTGGTGTACTGGCAGGATTTACCGGTTTCTGTTCATTTTAGTAGTTGAGAGTTGTCATCCAACTTGTGTGGCAGCCCAGGTGGTTGGTCTCATTCCCTGGGGGCCCCCAGGAGGGTCCTGCCTCACCGTTGCCCACCTCTCCTTTCTTTCCAGGCGCAGCAAGCACACAGTGGTGGCCTATAAAGATGCCATCTATGTGTTTGGTGGAGACAATGGGTGAGTGAGTCTGCACATCAGGGTGTTTGGACCAGGGAGGGAGAAACATGGTGGTTTGGACTGGGCTTCTGCAGCTCTGCTATTATCTTTACAAATGTTAGCTATTACTCAGCTTCATATCCCAATCTGTGAGGTTGCCTGCCCGCAAAGCCCTCAGCACAGCACCTAGTGGGTAGCACATGCTCAGGACACAGAAATTTCCCTCTGGTTCTGACTGAGTGGACACAACCTTGAAAGAAACACGTCTGTCCTGGCTGCCACCCTGCCAGGCACTTTTCCTTCCCTGCACTTCTCTCTGGGCCTCATCCACATGCTCACATGGCAGCTGAGGAGGCATAGAGGACAGTTTTATTTATTTCCCACATTTTACCCTTTTTGGAAGGGTTTTCCCATGTTGCTATAAATTCCTGACAATGACCTGATGTTCTGTTGGTGAGTGCACCTCCATCCACTCAACTGTTCCCAGTTAAGCTGTGGCTGGTTTCCTTTGCTGGAAGATAATGGTCAGGGTGAACCCTCAGTTTGTGCAGCTGCTTCCTTCTCCTGGCATGTTTCCCTTTGATCCATTCCCCAGGAGTTGAACCTCCCCAGAGGGAAAGAGTTGTCTTAGTGTTGGCGGGGCCATGTCAGGTCCTGGGCACAGGCACAGGTGCAGTGGACACAGGACCAGGAAGGGGGGCGGGGGGAGTCTGGTCCTGTCTTGGAAGCCTTTGTGGAAGGGTTGATGACCTGAGAGATGAGTAAGAGTGAGCCGTGCAAAAGAGGAAGAATGTGCCAAGCAGATGGATCAACGTGGGCAATGGCCTGGAGAGTGCAGAATAGCACTGGATCTGCGTCTGAGCAGTGTTTCCCACCTCCATTTGTTATGTGCTCTGAAAATGCCAGAGATGCCCACCAGGCATCTGGGAGGGGTAGGAGCCTGTCCGATGTGGGGCTGAAGCTTGGTGTTTTAGACAAGCAGGGCTCAATTCAAGTCAGAGCTTTGTGGCTTTGGGCTCGGGCAGGTGGCTTAGCAGCACTAACTGCACTCTGGTCTCCTTCTCCATATATGGGGTGGCTCCGTGTGCTTCATGAGGTTGAGTGACCACAAGGCTGTGAGGGGCTCAGCACAGAAGTTTCCCTGTGTTAAGGGTGCAGCATTTGCACACAACCCATCCTCCTCATAGGTCCTGTCTCCACCTGTCAACCACAGGACCTGGCCTAAAGGCCAGGAAGGGCTGGCCTCTGATCGGTGCTGCAGCCTTGGTCCTGCAGGCCCCCCTGGGGGAGCTGACTTGGGGCAGATGGGATAGGCAGGATCGCGTGAGGGCCTGCAGAATGGGCAGAAGGGTCTCCTCAGGCATAGTCCCTTGTTTTCCAGCTCATCTCCCCCATAGTCTCTTCCCTGTGAATCAGCAGAGGGATCCATTTGGAAATGCAAGTCGGAGTGTGATCCTCCTTGGCAGAGAACTCTCTAACTAAAAGCCCCAGCCCTCTTGGCAGTCAGCGTGCCCCCACTGCGCCTCCCTTCGTCCTGCACTGCACCGGGCCACACCGCTGCCTTTCTGTGTTCCAATTGTTCCAAGCATCCTGCTCAGGCCCTTGCACTGGCTGTTCCCTCCTGCTCACCCTCCTGTCCTTCCTCTCAGTCACCTGTGAGTGAGGCCTTCCCCAACCACCTAGACCAACTGGATCAATCCATGGCCGTCCCCTCCCTTTCTGCTCCTCTTTCTGGCTCCATTCACCCCAGAGCTTACAGATGTTTGTTATTCGTCTCCTCCAGGGCAGGGCCTGTATCCTGGCACCCAGACTCAACAACTATTTGTCACATGAAGGGATGAAATAAAGACATTTACCAAAACCTTAATGGGAATTTCCAAACCAGAAAAGATGTGGTGTCCAGCATAGGGCAGTGGCTTGGGAACATCCCCAGCACATTCTGTAGTAGAAACTGTGTGGCAACAAGCAGAAATTTTTTTGCCACAATGTGACACTAAGAAAGAGGATACAAATTTGTCTCAATCTAGTTGTAACTTGTATAGAGTGGGTAGGAAGAAAGATGGCCTGGCATCAGCTGGGTAGGTCACTTGTTGGAGCGTCCTCCTGATATGCCAGGGTTTCAGGTTTTATCACCAGGCAGGGCATATACAAGAATCAACCCATGAATGCGTAAATAAGGGGAACAACTCTCTCTCCCTCTTTCTCTCTCTCTCAAAATCAATTAAAACAAAACAAAACAAAACAGAAAAAGATGGCCCAACCCTGGGGGTTGGGGAGGGGAGGGGGGACAAATGGGAAAGGGGAGGAATTACTGTCACATCTCTGCTTCTCAGCTCCTGGCTTTCTGGTTGCATGGCCTCAGACAGGTCCTTTTATCTCCCAAGCTGTTTCCTCTTCTGCAACTGCAGGTGGAGTGCTCTGCCGTCTGGTGCAGACTGAACTAGACAGTGCAGGGGGTGCTGGGGTCCTGTTGGGTTCACACCCTTCTTCCCTCTTAGTGACAGGGCTGTGTGGTATTGTGCAGGTTGTGTTAGGTGGTGCCATGGCCAGTGGATTTGTTTTCTGTTTTATCATATCTTTTGCTGTTGTTTATTTATTTATTTGTATTTAATTTATTGGGGTGACATTGGTTAATAAAATTATATAGGTTTCAGGTGTACAATTCTATAAATACGTCATCTAGATATTGTATTGTGTGTTTACTCCCCCGTTCTATTGTATCTTTAATGTACTTGTTACACTGGCTTTGTGATGAAGAGATGGCAGGAAGATGCAGGAGAAGGGTGTGGCCTCCCCCACCCCTGAGATGTGGGCAGGCGTCTGCACTGTGGTGGCGCAGCCTCAGAGAAGGGGGCCCTGAGACATGCGAGTGGGGATTCTGGAGCCCGGCGTGAAGTGCAAGCTCTCATGTCAGCAGTGGGGTGGCCCAGGTCACACTTCGGCTCTGACTCCTGGCGGGCAGCTCCTGTGCCCGCACCAGCTCAGGAGGTTCCTTTGTGGTCACCTCTCTGTCCCTCAGGTGTCAGCTCATTGTCTCGCCCTGGCTAAGTCCCCCAAAACAACTCCCCTACTCCCCGGGCTATGCTGTCCATCTTCTGGGACTTCACTGGGCGATGCCCTGCAGAGCAGACCAGGACTGAGCCCACCTGTCCCTGGCTGTCTTTCAGGAAGACGATGCTCAACGACCTCCTGCGGTTTGATGTGAAGGACTGTTCATGGTGCAGGTGGGTGGCCTCCTGAGTTCCAGGTCCCTGCTCTTTCTCCTAGAATTTGGTAGCACTATTTTGGACCAGTTGCCAGCGGAGTCATGATCCTGGAAAGGGAGAGAGAAGCCCAGCGCCTCTCTCAGTGTCCCTCTATCTCTTGGGTTTCTTTTGCACTCCATGTCTGAGATTTATCGTTCTGAATTCTGTTCATTAGGAGACCTGTTAGATCCAGTTGTGGGTCCTCAAATTCCGCCCCAGGAGAGCCCTTCAGTTGCCAAGCCTGTCTCCCAGGCCAGGGGCTGGAGCCAACATGGAGGGCCATCAGCTGATGGGTCCTTCTGGGACTGACTCTGCTGCTGCAGCGGCTCCTTTGCCATCCCTTCCCTGTGGGGCCCATCCCCTGCCAGGAGGCCCCACACAGGCAGTGGGCATCATGTGGTCCCTGGCCTCCCTCCTGCAGGTGGCCCTCCGGTGGCCTTGGACAAGATACCTGCCCTTTCTGAGCATATTAGTGCCCTACAGTCCAGGCCCTGACTGGGAGCAGCGCACAGCTGAGGGGGAGGAATAGACTCTGGGATTAGGAGGTAACTGGGTTTCCTCCTGAGCTCTGCCATCTGTTTGTACAGAAGCACAGGTTCACTGAGCCCCACGTGGGCCACTCTCTGTTCAGGAGCTCTGTGCACAGCCCTCTCACTCCCAGCAGCCCTTGGGGCGGGGGGGTCTGACTGCTTCCTTTGGCAGAGGAGGATGTCGGGACTCAGGACCCACAGATGCTGAACCTGGCACCTGGGGCGGCATCAGTCCACATGCCCACCTTCTGCCCAGGAGACCTGGGTAGCACCAGGATTACCACAGAAACTCCTATGTTGTTTCTCTCACACATCATTTTTAAATATAGCCAATAGTACAAATTCATTTTTAAAATCACTCTGAAGACTTTACAACTCTTTGTTAAAAATTGTTTAAGGCTGAAAAGGAGCAGCCCCCAGAAAGCAGTATAAATGGGTTTTTAATTTGGCAAGTAAAATTTGTGGACCACCCATGCTGCGGAATACAGTGCAGCTGTGAGGATGGGAGTAGTGACGGTTCTAGAGTAGCTTGAAGACCTAGTCACAGTCTCTTTAGTTGAAAAACATATTACAAAATATCTACCATGATATTCCACGTTTAAAAATCACTCAGAGGCACAATAGGCATAGGAAGGAGTGGGGCATACCTCCAGGTATGCACAGTGGCTTCTGGCAAAGGGATAACAGGTAAATTTTAGTGCTGGGTGGTTTTGGTTTTGGTTTTGTTTTTTTTTTACCTTGTTGGTAACTTTCTTAAAACTTTCTATAATGATACAGGTGTTAACCTTCAAAATACTGCTGACACTCATTGCCTCTCGTTCCCCTGCCAGGGCCTTCACCACTGGGACCCCGCCAGCCCCCCGCTACCACCACTCAGCTGTGGTCTATGGGAGCAGCATGTTCGTCTTTGGTGAGCAGCCGCTTACCTCCCAGGCCAAGGATCCCTTGCTCTGCCCCCGTCAAGCCTCAGGCGCACGTGCTGTGCTCGGCTGGCCTTCTCTGTCCGCCCCATAGCCTGATCTCCTGGTGTGGGAATGGTCTGCTTCTGTGACTAGGATGGAAGGTGGCTTTCCCTCTCCATTAGGGACCGTGAATGGGGTCCTGCTGATCGCTGTACTTCCAGAGCCCAGCACAGTGGCAGGCACCCAGTAGGTGTTCCCACGGAGTGTGGAGGGAATTCTGGAATGCATTTTCCATGGGGCCAGACTGTGTCCTCACCTCCCAGGGTTTGATGACTCTACAATGCTGCCTTTGGGTGTGACCGTTTCTCTCTCTTTACCCAGGGGGTTACACTGGGGACATTTATTCCAATTCTAACCTGAAGAATAAAAATGACCTCTTTGAATACAAGTTTGCAACTGGCCAGTGGACAGAATGGAAAATTGAAGGACGGTGAGAAACTGCTGAAACGTTGGGGGTTTTCTACAGATCTGGCCCTGCAGCATTACAGGTGAAGTGTCTGAAGCTCAGAGAGGCCTGGGAGCTGGGAGTTGGTGTTAACCTGTCTGTAGCCTCCTCCCAGCTCTTAGATTGCCTCCTTTCAGAAAGCAGAAGGGGTCGAATGTCCTGTGATAGGCGTTTCTATGGTCCTGCCTTGCAAGCACCACCTTTGATATTTTGGTAGCAGCTGGGAGAGGACTCTGTGCCCTGTCAACATCTGAATGCCTCCTCAGTGACCAGGTGCCAAATGAGCTCAGCCCCTGGTGCTGTTGATTATACCCTGACTGGTGTCCCTCGTGTCCCTGGGGTCCCAGTGTCTGCAGATGTGGGCATGGCAGTCCTGGGGCCTGGCAGGACTTGCAGGGCCGTGGCCGTTGGACCAGCCTTGTGGGGCTATGAGGCTCGAGTCTGCATTGGGTGGCCTCATTCTTCCCCCACCTCATGTTCCAGGTTGCCAGTCGCTAGGTCAGCCCATGGTGCCACGGTGTACAGTGACAAGTTATGGATCTTTGCTGGCTACGATGGCAATGCCAGGTAGGCTGTGGCCTGGCCCGTGCACTCCTCCTCTAAGCAGCCCAGGGTACAGGTGCACAGAGCGGTCTTCTTAGTCTTGGAGGCCTCAGGCTGGGGGTTCCTTGGGAGGGTGGGTGTGTGGACAGGGGGTAGGGGGAAGAGGAGGATGGGCAGGATGAGGGCCATGGCCACTGACTGGAGCCTCCGCCCGGCCCCCACCATGTTTGTGCAGCTGCCATGCAGGTCTCCAGAGCAAAGAGCTGGGGGGCAGGGAGAGGTGGTCCCTTGAATTGCTGGGGTGAGAATACTCAGGTCCACAGCAAGGAATGACCCTAAGGGGCAAATGAGCAGGTAGGTGGCGGTGGCAGGGCTCAGACTCGGCCCCTCCCCTAGAGAGGACAGCAGAGTTCTTGCCTATGTCGTAGGCATTTTCCTTCTTATTTTAGCAAATTGGCTTTGCTGTATTTTTCTGATTACAAAAGCAGCATGTGCTCATTCCCCAAAACTTCAGCATTATAGAAACTCTAAACAATGCAATTTCTGTGAGCATAGCCTCTCTGAAGTCTTCTCTTAGCCCCAGGGATCAGCTGAGTGGCTGACCCTGTCCCCTGCCCTAAATGTCAAGAATGAGGCCTTTCTTCAAATGAGACCTCTCTTCCTGCCTGGGCTGGGCAGGGGCCTGACACAACAGGGACTCAGCGTGGCCCCCACAACCCCCCAGCTGAAGCTTCCGCTTCATGGCTGCCACAAAGGCCCTAGATCAGAGTCCCAAGTGATGGGCTGTTCTTCCCCAGAGCCATCCCTCCTGGTCAGGCCCAGGCCCACCCTGACAGTCAGTACCAGGTCAAGCATCCCGACCCTTTTGTCCTTGTGTAGGCTGAACGACATGTGGACCATTGGCCTGCAGGACAGAGATCTTACGTGCTGGGAGGAGGTAAGAGGTTGGGGGGCTGGGATGGGGTTGTGGGGAAGCAGGGAGGTGAGGGATATAGGGGGTGGGGGGCTGGAGTGGGAGGTGAGAGGTTCAAGGATGGGGTAGGCCAGGGTGGGTTGGGGTGGAGGCTGCCATGTTCCCCTCTGCCAAAGCCTAGCCTTGTCCTTTGCCTCGCCCTCCCTGCTGACCTGCCTGGCCCTCACAACAAACCGCAGTGGCAGTTACCTAGTGACTAAAGGCTCTGTGCTTTGGATGGCAGCCTGTTACAGGTGACTGATACGGTTCAGGTATAACCCACCCTTATCTGAACACAGCAAGGACAGCACAGGACCTGCTGTCCTGCTAACTTCTGTTTTCCTAGGGCGTTTCTTTCCTATTTAATGATGATTTTAGCCCCCATTTAGGAGGGCAAGGTGGGGCTTTAGGTTGCTCTGCAAAAAGTGAGACATGAACCCTCATTCGCAGAAGAAACTGGCAGTAAAAGCAGTCCCAGCTCAGCAATGTAAGCATTGGCATGTGCGCTGGGTCCTGTGAGGGCCCGGCCTGAGCTGCCTTCCGCCCCCACAGGTGGTCCAGAGCGGTGAGATCCCACCGTCCTGCTGCAACTTCCCAGTGGCCGTGTGCCGGGACAAGATGTTTGTGTTCTCAGGGCAGAGTGGAGCCAAGATAACCAACAACCTCTTCCAGTTTGAATTTAAGGACAAGATGTGAGTGCCCCTGTGGTGGGGCCCTGAGCCGCTCCCCACGCCGACATCTGGGGCCATCCCCATGGGCTCCCACATAAAGTGGGGCCAGCCGCCCTCCCTCCCAGAGTGGGATGTGCGGTGCCTTTGTAGTCTGGGCCAGAGGCCCCCTGCAGGCCCCTTGGGTGTGGCTGCAGCTGAGCAAGATAGAGCCTGGGCAGCCTCCCTCCTTGAGTGAAGGACACCCCAGCCCCATGAATGGCATGGTCAGTGCCACCAGTAACAGATGTGGCTGGCATAGATCACATATGACGGCAGAAGACTGGAGGGTGCATGGGCCCTGAGAACTTCCAGCCTTTGCTGTCCTTGGCTGCTGGCCAGCCCTTGATCCCTGTGATGGGGACTAAGGCAAGGCCCAGGCGCTGGCTCTGGGACTTAATGGAGGAGAGGAAATAGGGAGTTTCAGCTGCAGGTCAGGGAGGCTCCAGAGGGGACCTGGAGCTGCCCTGGGTACCAGGATATCAGCTGGGAAGGAGGCCTTCTGGGCATCCTGGGCGGGGGGAAGCCTTCTGATGCCTGGCCAGCGCTTTTGTCCCGGGGTGGTCAGGCTGGGAGGAGGACCACACGGCACACAGGCCCGCTGCCCCACCCTGACCTTGGCCCTCAGGACAGTGGTGTCACAGAGAGCTCGGAGCAGGCAGGGAAAGACCTGGGGAAGTGAGGGCATGGGTAGAGGCCAGGCATAACCAGATGTGGGGAGGGTTTGGGGCAGACATGCGGACTCTGGCCAGATGGACAGGTGGTCGACCTGCAGGGGGGTCCACAGGGAGGTGCCAGGGTTGGGGGAAGACACAGCACCTGAGGGCTGCTTAGGGGCCTGTGGGCACCCGTGGAGCAGGCTGAGGAAGGCGTATCTAGAGGGCAGAGGGCGGTGGGGTGAGGGGCCCAGGCCAGAGCTGGGGGTAGAGCTGCAGCTTGGGGTGAAGGGGATGGGGTAGGAAGAAAACCACAGGAGACTTGACCACCAGCAGCAGCCGGATGGGTATTGGGTGACTCTGGTGGCCTTGTTGGGTGGAGCCAGTGCAGTGCCGCCTTCCTCACAGGCCAGCCCCCCGGCAGTCCCCAGGCAGCCTCCTACTCAGCCTCATGCTGGCACCCTTTGTTCCCCCACACAAAGATGTTGGCAGAGCTGGTTCCAGAGTGGAATGGGATGAGGGACACTGGGAAGCTCTCCCAGGGTCTCAGGGTACCTCACAGAATGGGCCTGCGGTTGGGAGGACCTCAGGGCTCAGGTGGAGGCCATAGGAGAACAGGAACCCTGACCTGACACTGGCTCTGTGTTGTGTGGCCCCAGGTGGACACGTATCCCCACTGAGCATCTGCTTCGGGGCTCCCCACCGCCCCCTCAGCGGCGCTACGGGCACACCATGGTGGCCTTTGACCGCCACCTTTATGTGTTTGGGGGTGCAGCCGACAACACTCTGCCCAACGAGCTACACTGCTATGACGTGGACTTTCAGACCTGGGAGGTTGTCCAGCCCAGTTCAGACAGTGAGGTGAGCACTGCCAGGTATCGCTGAGGGGACCCAGGGCCTGTGGGGTGAGTTCCTGACCCACCGGCTCCCACCTCCTCTCCAGCTCCTCACAGCCTCAGGGCGCTCCCAGGGCTCCAGACAACCAGCAGGAGCAAGGCCAGGATGCCCTCAGCCCTGGACACCCACCCTGACCCTCCCTGGGCCCTGGGCCCCTCTGTCCATTCTCCACCTTGCAGCCTGTGGGCTTGTATGGTTCCACTGCCCACTGTGTTTGCATTGTGCTGAGGATGTTCTCTCAGCTCCCGGACTCACCCTCATCCTGTGGCTCTCCCCTCCCTGCCTCCACCTGTCCCCGCAGCGCTCTGGGTGGGGTTGGCGAGCAGCCTCTGGTGCCTGCCTGGCTCTTGCTGACGGGCCATGCTCCCACACGCCTCCTACCAGGTCGGTGGGGCTGAGGTGCCGGAGCGAGCAGCCGCTTCTGAGGAGGCACCCAGCCTGTCCTCTGAGGATCGGGGCGGCTTCAAGAAGTCCCGAGATGTATTTGGCCTGGACTTTGGCACCACCAACACCAAGCAGCCTTCCCCACCAGCCTCAGAGGTGAGGGCTCCTGCCGTCATCACCGCTCCCTCCCGCACTGAAGCCAGGCCTGTGATCAGCCCATCTCAAAGGTGGGGAGACCGAGGCTCAGAGAGGTATTTGTTGGGGTCACATGGTAAGTTGAGGGCCAGGAGCCCATGCCCTGCTGCCTGGGCCATGTCCGTGCAGCATGTGAGGCTGAGCTCCTGCTGTGTCCACTCTGGGTCACAGGAGCCCTGCCTGCCTGCCTGCACAGGCGCTGCCTCCTGCCCTGTGCCTATAGCTGTGTCTCAGGGCCTGCTCCGACCCCTCCTTCAAAGCCAGTGATGCCACACCCTTGTTTACAACATGGCCCACTCCTGGCCTCGGCCAGCTCCCTACTGGAGGCCTAGCCCTGCCCTTTCCCACCCTGCCTACTTGTCCCCCGTCCACCCAGCTGCCCAGCGGAAGGCTCTTCCACGCGGCTGCTGTGATCTCAGATGCCATGTACATCTTTGGGGGCACTGTGGACAACAACATCCGCAGCGGGGAGATGTACAGGTTCCAGGTGAGACTCACAGGCCTGCGGAGCAGGCGGCTACCTCGTGAGCTGACTCTGCATGGGCCAGCCAGGGTGAATGGGCCCTGATGGTGGGAACTGAGACCCAGTGGGTAGGGATGGAGCTTTGAGGAGTCTGGCAGCGGAGGTGGGGAGTGGGGCTTAGGCTGAGGCCGTCAGGAACCTCAATAAAGGGTGCAGCTGCAGGGGCCGAGTGGGGGCTCACAGCAGAGCCAGTGGAGGTCGGGAAGCCGCCTGAGTCAGTGGAGGGAGCAGAGCTGAGCTGAGCTTGGCATTGGGGTCTCAAGGACAGCCATTTCCTGGAGGGAGCAAAGCCAAGGATGACAGCGTCTTCACTTGGTAACACATGGGTCTCGTCCTGCAGTTCTCCTGTTACCCCAAGTGCACGCTCCATGAAGACTATGGGCGGCTCTGGGAAAGCCGCCAGTTCTGTGACGTGGAGTTTGTGCTGGGTGAGGTGGGTGCCCTCCCTGTGCCCCGCCCTGCCCACTGTGGAGGAGGTGGGGCTTTGTATCCAGAGGCGTGCTGGCTGCCCAGTGGTTCCTGGAGTCTCCAGGCCCCTGTCCTGGCTGGCTTTCACCAAGGTGTCATTCTTGCTGCAGAAGGAGGAGTGTGTGCAGGGCCACGTTGCCATTGTCACAGCACGAAGCCGCTGGCTCCGAAGGAAGATAGTACAGGCAAGGGAGCGACTGGCCCAGGTGAGGTGCTGCCCTGCCTGGCCCCGCCTGGCCCCGCCTGGGCAGCAGCATCCATGGGGTATTCTTGAGCTCCCCTTTCTCTTCCCACAGAAGCTGGAGGAGGAGGCAGCTCTGGCTCCCAGGGAGGCCTCTGGTGGTGCTGTGAGCGGGGCCCGGCTGCCACTGCTGCGTGTGGCCATCCGAGAGGCCGAGGCCCGGCCCTTCGAGGTGCTCATGCAGTTCCTCTACACCGACAAGATCAAATACCCGAGGAAAGGTCTGCCTGGGCTGGGGCAGGGCAGAAACAGGGTGAGGGTGGGAGCAGCCCTGCTTGCAGGTGGGCAGCCTGGGCCCTGCCTCCCCTCCCCTGCCTAAGGTCCCCAAGGCTCAGGGAGTTCTTGGATGCAGGCCATGTGGAGGATGTGCTGCTCATCATGGACGTGTACAAGTTGGCGCTGAGCTTCCAGCTGTGCCGCCTGGAGCAGCTGTGTCGGCAGTACATTGAGGCCTCCGTGGACCTGCAGAACGTGCTGGTTGTGTGCGAGAGTGCTGCCAGGCTGCAGCTGGGCCAGCTGAAGGTGCATCGCAGCCCACCCTGCCCACTGCTGCAAGCCCCTTTCCCGGCCTGGTGCCCTGTTGGGGCCAAGGCCTGACCGTGCCCACCTGCCCGACCTGTCTGTCCCAGGAACACTGCCTGAACTTCGTGGTGAAGGAGTCCCACTTCAACCAGGTGATCATGATGAAGGAGTTCGAGCACCTCTCATCCCCACTGATTGTGGAGATTGTTCGGCGGAAGCAGCAGCCGCCACCCCGTGCCCCCTCAGACCAGCCCATGGACATCGGTAGGGAGCCTGGTCCCTTCCCTGCTCGTGGCTGGCCAGGTGGCATTCATCTTGGTCAAGACTTGGGAGCCATGGAATCACCTGCCAGACTCTCAGGCAGGGGTGGAAGGGTGGGTGCAGGGAGGACCCCAGAGGGCGCCCTGAGTACAGGGGCAGGGGCAGGGGCAGAGAGGGAGGTAGTACAGGCTCAGGTGAAGGGAGAACACCTAGCCCACAGGGGTTTTCACAGCAGTCTGTGTGCCCAAGGGTGGGGAACCGCCGGAGCCCGTTTCTGGAGGTGACGGGGGGCACCTCTCTGGCAAGGTGCCTGCCCTGAATGACATCAGGCTGGAAGTTTCTGAAGTGACTGATGTGCTCAGGGCCATGGTGATTAGCCACCAAGCTTCCCTTCTCTGGGTACCCATGGCTGGGGCCCCCTGAAGAGCGAGCACAGCCTGCAGACCTCAGCTCCTCCCAGTGCCCCCTGCACCCCACTAGCCTGGGATGGGACAGGCTCCTTCATCCCCGACTCCCCCTGGGGCCTGTGCTTCCCCTGGCCGCTGGCTCCAGGTGACACATAGGCACACACGGCATGCCAGGCCCAGAGCAGGGCTCAGTGGGCTGAGTTTAGGGGATCAGACTCTGGGGACGGACTGGCCTGAGAGCTGTGTTGGAAGCTAAGGACAGGGCTGGCAGTGCCTCAAGGACTAGAATGAGGCATCTGGCCTGAGGGAGGTTCATTCAGGGTCACAGAAGGGGCAGGTGTGCAGGGGGCAGTACCCTGGGGCCCTGAGGCCTGAGTCAGGAGCAGGGTCTAGTAAGGGGCAGGAGGCACCTGCTTAGGGTCTCTCCATGCCCCTCCAGGCACATCTCTGATCCAGGACATGAAGGCATACCTGGAGGGGGCAGGCGCCGAGTTCTGTGACATCACGCTGCTGCTGGACGGACATCCTCGGCCAGCCCACAAAGCCATTCTGGCTGCCCGCTCCAGGTGGGTGGGGGTGCAGCTGCCGGGCAGGGTGGGCCCAGGTGCTGGCTGCATCTGCTGAGAGCAAGGCCTCTGTCACCCTATCTGCAGCTACTTTGAGGCCATGTTCCGGTCCTTCATGCCTGAGGACGGGCAGGTGAACATCTCCATCGGGGAGATGGTACCCAGCAGGCAGGCCTTCGAATCCATGCTCCGCTACATCTACTATGGTGAGGTCAACATGCCTCCCGAGGACTCGCTGCATCCTCACCCCCAGTGGCGCTCCCAGGTCATCACGGGTTCCTAAGACCCATGGTGGGTGGCCCAGCTCGCCGATCTTGGCTGGGTGATTTCTGGAGGATTTCCTGGTGCCTTGTGCTCTCCCAGACTTCTCTGAAATGGTTGGTTGACTGGCACCAAGGGATTTGTAGTCAGGAAGGACAGATGGGTTCTTGACTCAAGAATGCTCAGAGTAAGGGATCAGCCATTGCTCTATGTGACAGATGAGCAAGTGGACTTAGAGTGATCCCTGGTCGTGTCACTTGAGTGCTGGTCTGAACATGGGGTGCGAGGATGCCCTTTAGGGCTCTGGGAGACTGCAGACTGTTCTGCAAAGATGCATATAGGTGTTTTCCTGGGGAGAAAGTGCTGTGGTGTTCTTTGGATCTTGATGGGGCCTTTGACCTCCAAGTGGTTCAGAATCCATGTAGAGATCAAATCAGTGATCTGCCTGGACTGGAGCCTTTGCCAGACCCACCTGGTGAGGCGGTCCCCGGTTCTGAGCAGGTGTGGTCTCAGGTTTCCTACGCCCCTGGCAGGCCAGGGCTCCAGGTGCACGCTCCCCAGGGAGGAGGGTGGTGAGTAGGCAAACGGCTCCTTTGGCAGCAGCTCCTTAACCAGCTCCCCCAGCTACCTGTTCGCGGCCCCCTACTACTATGGCTTTTACAACAATCGGCTGCAGGCATACTGCAAGCAGAACCTGGAGATGAATGTGACGGTGCAGAATGTGCTGCAGGTAGTACACCTGGTGCCTGCCGGCCTCCCTGCACCTGGGCGGGTGGGTGAGAGGCGGGGCAGCACCTCAAGGAACCTGCCGTTCCAGATCCTGGAGGCGGCTGACAAGACACAGGCACTGGACATGAAGCGGCACTGCCTGCACATCATCGTGCACCAGTTCACTAAGGTCAGGGCCCTCCTGGCTCAGCACTCACTGCTCACCCCTCATCTTCAGGACCCTCTCCCATGGCAGCAGGTGGGGGGGGCATGCCTAGAATCTGGCCATCTTCTGCAGCAGTGGGGCCTGGGGATAACCAAGCAGAGCCACCCACCCACTGGCCACCCCTCACCCCATCTTTGGAGCCCTCCCAATCTGCATGTGAATCCAGTTCCATCCTGTTCTGGCCTTTTGTTCACTTCCCCCAGGTCTCCAAGTTGCCCACGCTGCGCTCCCTGAGTCAACAGCTGCTGCTCGACATCATAGACTCCCTTGCCTCCCACATCTCCGACAAGCAGTGTGCAGAACTGGGTGCCGACATATGAGGACCCGGGTGGTGCCAGCCCATGAATGGAGAATGACCATGCTTGCCCTGTCCCCTGCAAAAACTGCCTGCAACGGAGTGGTCAGACCTGCCAGTGGAGGCACAGGGTGCACAGAGCCTCAGAAGAGAGCTGAGAGGACATGGGGGGCTCCAAATGCTCCATTTCACTGCTGACTTGGGAGCCACAGGTCCCACAGAAAACAGATGGTGAAAGAGGCCCCCTGGCCAGCACCCTCTCCTGGGGTAGAGGGACAGGTGGGAAGCTAGGGTTCAGTGATGAGAGCAGACGGCGGGGGTCCTGGCCAGGGCCCAGCAGAGAGCCTGCCAGGGAGCTGGCTTTGGGGTCCCCACCTGGCAGGGAGCCAGCATGGCTTGTGCATCTGGCCATAGTCATGTTGCAAAGCTCTCTCCGGTGTGGGGGCCATATAGACCCCCTCACCCTCACCAAGGTTGGTGTGAGGGGCTGCACCTGTCACCTGGAGCTTGTGTGTAGGCAACAGTGATGGGCAGATGGTCTGATTCGAGATGAATTTCTGTGCCCTTCAAGATGAATTTTGGGGTGTGAAGGGCCCTGAGGTCAGGTCCCAGCCCAAGGGTCAGCCTCTCTGGATTGGGTCTGGATTCCAGAAGGACTTTATGATCCTACATACCTGTGTGTGTATCAGGGCCTTGGACTGTGCCAAGGAGAGGTCAGCAAAGATGCCTCCTCAGGCCCCTGTCCCTAAGTATTATTGTCATAGACATGCCTCCATTAAAGCCACAGCAGTGGTCCCTACTACTCACACCTTCCTGGCTTCACTGGTGGGCTCTGGCCTCAGCCTTTGGCCCTTCCAAAGCTGTGGACTGGCCATTTGGCCCAATTGTTTGGGATTAGTCAGTGTTCTCTATCCATGTCAGCACTTCCTAGACAGGTGGGGGAAGGGGCTGTTGAGGAATCCAGGCTGGCTTCTCCCTTCCTGAGAGTAAGCCTGGGATGACACCCCCCCCCGCCCCGCCCGCAATGTGCTGCATTATAGGCTCCTGCATGGGATGGAAACGCATCCTTCCCTTTCCCCTGACAGAAGAGCCTGTGTGATTTCACCCCAGTGTGGAAGGGACCATTCTGCCTCTGTTCTGAGAACAAGAATCCCAGGGACCCTTCTCGAACTGCCAGGAAGTCACTTAGGGGAAATTCTCTTTTCCCTGCCTTAGAGCTCCCTTCCCTCTTGTGTCCCACAAAAATGTGGTACCTGTCACTCCACAGCCCCTGTTAGGAGAGCCTGGATGCAGATGGATGAGGAGCCCCAGTGGCAGATGGGCACCCTTAGGCAAGCCCATCCGTAAGGCTGTCAGCAAGCCAGAAAGTGGCCTGGGGCAAAACGAGCAGCCTGGGGACCCTAGGGAATGGTCTGGAAATCCAGCTGCACAGTGGACCCGATGGGACCCTTGTAACTGGCTACTAAGCTATCTCTTCTAGATATGCTATGAATAAATGAAGCCACACACCAAGAGCTCTAAAGAGCAAATTTCGTAACAGTGTAAGTAGTTCACAGGACTAGAAAGAATTCAGCTGCGCTGGGGCTGTTGTGGCCAAGGGCCAGCAGGGAGAGGTCACCTGTGCAGTCAAAACTGCCCCGTGCACTAACCTGTTTACCATAATTACAGACGCAAAGAGGCCTAGGTCCCAGTCACGTTAAAGAAAAATGGGGACACAGGTTAAGGCCAAGACTGCTGCCATGTGCTTTCCCCCACTTCAGGGACCGGAAACGTCATTTGTTGGGCCTCACTACTTGCCAAGCACAGCGGTCCCAGAAGGTTAGAAATCATTCTTGTCCCTGTTTTCAGATGAGATAGGCCTGGGACTGAGCAGGAGGCTGGCCTCCAGGCCAGAACTCAGGCTGTGCAGGCTGAGCCTGTTGTGTCCTCACAAAGAAAGTCTGGCCTGGGTTTTAAGAATGTCTTCAAGGAAACCAGCTTGCTCAAGTCAAGGCTATTTCAGGTACCAAGGAAAGGGTGCCTAGTGCTGCCCCCGACCTCTACTCATACCACCCTGTCCCTCCAAGAACCTTGTGGGGCATGCAGCTGCATGGGGAGGAGTGAGCAAGAGCAAGGCTCTGCTCTTTGCAGCCCAGAGCTTGGACTTCAGGGTTCCAGGACCTCAAGGTTCCCGAGCTCTCTGGGGGCTGTAGCCATTTTCTGCAGGAATAAGACTGATACTGAGGGAGGGTCCCCAGCCCCCTGCTGAACCAGATACAGGACCTCCTAGAATCCACTTTATTAGGGCACCTGGTAGGTCTGGTGGATGCAACTCAGATCAGGTCCCTTTCCAGGTGGATTCTGAGGAAGAGGCTTGGAGCCCTGACAGGCAGCCTCTCAGTCAGTCCTGGGTCCAGTGGCCCCTCACTCAGGTCATGCTGCTGCTCAGCTGCATAGCAAAGTCCTGCACGTGCTCCTTCAGAGTCTGGCGGGCATCTGCCTGTGCCCGCTTCTCCCGCGCCCGCTCCTCCCGCGCTCGTTCCTGCTGGAGCTTGGTTAGCCGCAGCCGCAGCCGCTGCTCCCGCCGCTTGCAGGCCTGCAGCTGGCGCTGAGCTTTGTCGAGGGCGTCAAGTGCAGCCTCTGCCCGCCGCTTCCAGAGTAGGGCACTGCCCACCTGGTAGCTGTGCTCATTCTGGATGTAGGCTCCAGCAGGTGGTGGGAGGCGCAGCATGTAGGCTGAGGGTGAGACAGGCCGCGGCTCAAGAGGGGATGGCTGGCGTTCTGGCTCCCGCTCTGGTGAGGGCTGGGTGCTGCAGCCTGCCTCATCCGCTTGGGCACCCAGGGGCCCCAGGAGGTCAGAGAAGGGGCTGCTGAGGCAAGGCTCCAGCCTCCCAGTGGGGGAGGAAGGCAAAGCAGCAGGTGCTGAGACCTCTTCCACAGGAAAGCAGGTGACCTCAGCAGGTGGAGGTGGAGAAAAAGGAGTTGTGGGTCCTCTGCCCTCAGAGCAGCTGTGGGGCAAGAGAGAGACTGACAGGTCAGGCAAAGGGCTCTGAACAGAAACATCAGCCTACTCCACAGGCTCAGGACCCTGTCCGCCACGGCTGCTGCGAGATACTCTTTAGCCCCGTCCCTCAAAACTGGGTTGAGTGGGACACACCTCCTCCCATTGCACATACCGCTTCCTGCATCGCCGGAGCCGGCTGACGTCGGGGGGACCAGGTGAATAACTGTGCCCCTTGGTCTTGGTTGTCCGGCGCAACTTGGAGAAAGACTCAAATATTGTGGGTACTGCACCCTCCTTCAGCCTGTGATACCCACTGTGGGGGAAAGCAGCCTGGATGAGAGAGAGAACAAGCACTGCCACCCCCAGCTGACCTGTAAGGACTCAGTTGAAATGCCCTCTGGCACCCGAGAGCAGACTCCCCAATGCTAGCAAACAATTCATTTGGGGAATGCCAATTAGCCAGAGATACACCAATCTCTTCCTGGCAAGGATCCTCAAAATTAAGCTGCATAGAAAGGTTCCACCAGAACTGGGTTGCCCAGCCAAAAAGAATTACTTCATTTGTGGACTTGGTGGTAAGACTGGGGTTCTAAGGAACACCCTCTGGAAAAGCTAATGTTTTTCCTCTCGCTCATGGCTCAGTCATCCTGAAGGAGCGGGTCTTACTGTCCTCATGTCAGAAGAGGGGACTGAGGTACAGCCGGGAAGAGGCAGCCATCCCTGAAACCAGGTCTGTCTGTCCTCATGTGAGGTGCTCCAGGAACCTCATCAGGCCCTACAGATGCCCCAGTGCTGACTGGCAGGGAGGCTCACCTGATTCCCACTAGCTCAAAGCAGTTCTCTTCGAAGTGTTTGGAGCAGAAGTAGATGTATTCGGATGCTGGGTCCCATAGGCCCTGGCCGCTGGGGTCCAGCCTCTGGCAGTTGGCCAGCCACAAGCCTCGCCTTGGGTTGTCCTTTTTGGGAAGTCTGTAAAGCCACAAACCTGTGAACCCCAGGCTGCCTGAAGCCCTGGGGCCATGCTGCCTACGCTTTTCAAATGGGAAGAGCTGGCCTTGCACATGCTGCCAGGAGACCTCCCTTTAACCCTTCCAGGTAAGCACCACCCACCCAGGCACAGACGATGAAATTGAGGCCCCAAAATGAGGTGCAACTTGCTCAGCGTCATCTAGCAGGTAAGAGTCGCAGAGCAGAGGATCCAAGGGTAACGGACGTACATCTTTCCTTTCCCGTCTGGACTCAGTCCCACTTGGACCGTCCCCCCCCCACCCCACCCCCCGCGCACCCCGCTTCAACCTCTCCCACCCACAAATTCAAGCCTCATCCAAACCGGAGAGCGGCGCATGCGCAATCGTGGCTTCACGCTAGCAAAACGGGCACAGGAGCACGTCAACCTTCGTGAGCCAGCACGCACGCGCGCTGACCTGTGGAAGGAGATGCCGCGATTGCGCGTCTCGCGCGTATCCCGTGTGCAGCAGCCGGCGGCGGAGCAGTGACGCGGCATCTGGGGAAGAGGCGGAAGCTTGGTCGTGGGCGGTTGTCCGGGCCCGTAGGGGCCCGACCTCCCAGCCACCGCTCCGGTTCAGGTGGCCCTGTCCTGCCGAGTCGCCCACTGCCCAATCTTGCCCGAGCCCCGTCCCAGCCCCTTCTCCTGACTCCTATCAGCGGCACTCACGATCTCGCCATTGCTGAGCCGCCGGAGTCTCGCGAGGTGTGGAGAGCGGCGGAAGTTGGTACCATAGAGACTAGGAAGAAAGGCCCAGGGGGCGGGGCGGGCCCCGGAAGTTAAGAGAGCGTGGGGTTACCGCAGGGCTTGCGTCGCCTTGCTCCGGACTCAGGCGCCATCGTAAAATAGATCTCTTTGCTTTGTCCTTTCATTCTTCTTTCGGGTCTATTGGCGGTTGACCGGTAGTGCCCTGGGGCCTGACCCGCACAGGTCGTGCCAGGAGGCCCCGGTTGCAAAAAAAGAAACTGCAACAGCAAAAGGGCTGCGATTCGAGACTAAACCTCGCAAAAAAGTGCTTTTGGGAAGGTGCCTCAAATTCGGTTGGCAAAGGCCACTGATTACGTTTTGGGAAAACATGACAGGCAGCAGGTTCTGTGCTAGCGACTTCTGAAAAGGGAAAAAGCTAAGGGCCTTTCTGGAAACTGGTCGGAAGCTGGGTTAGTGCTGGGCGGGGCTGCCTCCTGGGCCCCTCCCACAAGACTGAGGGTGAAAACATTTTAGTTTAGAAAAATCCGGGTTACTTTTCCATATTTCAAAGAACATCAAGTATGGGATATAGGGTTTAAGAATGTTTAAATTTAAAATAGTTGAAGCATTATTTTTCCAGCCTTGCCTTTTGAAGCCTTCTTTCTGGGAGTAATGCGGGAACTAAACATACAGGTGTGCTTAATTTAGTTTGAAAAGAAAATTTTTCCCTGGCTGGTGTGGCTCTGTGGATTGAGCATCGGCCTGCGAAATGAAAGGTTGCTGGTTTGATTCCCTGTTAGGGCACGTGCCTGCGTTGCAAGCCAGGTCCTTGATTGGGGCCATGCCAGAGGCAACCAGTCAATGTTTCTCTCCCTCCCCTTTCTCTCAAAAGAAATAAAATATTCAAAAATAAAAGTAAAAAAGGAAACGTTTCCCCCCTAGAAACCCACTTGGAAAAAGGCATGTATCTGAATGTGCAATTGTTTCAAAATGCAGAACAAGGGACAAATGATGCCTCAATACAGAACTTTAATAAGTAAATATATCTTGCAGTGTTATGGGTGGGGGGCGGGGAGGAGTAATACAAGGGATGGGCGCCAGCGCAACTCTCCCACTCAGTATTCTTCCCCTTCTTCAGCCTCCGCTTCCACGGAATCCACGCCCACTTCTTCATAATCTTTCTCCAGAGCTGCCAGGTCCTCCCGGGCCTCGGAGAACTCCCCTTCCTCCATGCCCTCCCCCACGTACCAGTGCACAAAGGCTCGCTTTGCGTACATGAGATCGAACTTATGGTCCAGGCGGGCCCAGGCCTCGGCGATGGCGGTGGTGTTGCTCAGCATGCACACAGCCCTCTGCACCTTGGCCAGGTCTCCCCCGGGGACAACGGTGGGGGGCTGGTAGTTGATGCCCACCTGCCAGAGAAGGGAAAATAGAAGTTTATATTGTAGCCTCAGAAATAGTTGCTTGTTTTTCAAAACTGGAGCTGTGGGCCGAGTAAAAAGGATGCCCTACAGAAATTGGTACATTGGTTTTTTGGCAGTACCTATCAACATTTAATATCCTTTGACATGTACTTTTCACTTTTTGGATTTATTCATACAAGAGCACAAAGCTATACATACAAAGATTTCTATGTATTTAATTTAAAGCACTGTAATAGCAAAACTGGAAACAAACACTCATCACAGGGAACTAGTTAAATTATTATATACCCACACAGTGAAACACTATATACAATTATGAAAAGGAGTAAGAAATCTCTCCTGGCATAGGAGGTCTGTCCAGAAGATATCCAGCCATGTAATATGAAAAATAGAGGCATTTTTTGAAGATACAGCAAACATTGTACATAGGATAATGATACCTCAGTCCCCTTCAAAGAAGGAAACTTGGGACTTCACACAGTTCTCCCAATTGCCATCAGCTGCCTTATCGTATTTTCCTGAATCTCATTGATGGTCAAATCTCTGCCCTTTCAAACATGATTTTTGTTTTGGGAAAAGCCAGAAGTTGCAAGGTGCCAAATCTTAGCTGAAGAGGGGCTGAGTCACCTGGTGATTTGATGTTTTGCCAACAAACTGGACAAGACATGATGCAGGAAGGGATGCATTGTTGTGAGGAAGCTGCCAATCACCAGCTGCCCATAAGCCATGGTCTTTTGAATCACCAGATAGTTTCCATGGAGGAATATTCATGCTTAAGGCAAAATTTGATGCACATCTGTTGTGCTACTAGCTCAGTTGTTTGAATGTGACAGCCACAATATACATGGTTACTCAACGGTGACTACCACCCCCAATGACTAATACAGCGCAGACATCAATGTTCATGCATACAAATTCCAATCCACTCTCCTTGGCTGCCAGGTTACATCGATGTTTTTGTTATATTAACAATGGCTGGACTTTTTTTGGACAGACCTCATATATGGGGTTGGTCAAAAAGTTTAGTTTTTTCCATAAAATAAAGGACACATTTTTCATTTTCACCAGTAACTTTATTGACTTGGATATTTTGAGTACGCCAGCTGTCTCCCACATAGTATAGTGTTGATTGTTCTCAATTAATGTATTGATATGATCATTATCAACTTCAGCTGGTCTACCTGACCATAGAGCATTGTTCAGAGAGAAACCTCCAACACAAAATTTCACAAACCATTTCTGACATGATTCATCAGTCACAGCACCTTCTCCATACAATACACAACTCTTCTTTAGCATTTGTTGCGTTTTTACCGTTCTTGAAATAATACAGCTTAATATGTTGAAAATGTTGCTTATATTTTTCCATCTTCAATATTAAAATGGCTACCCAAAAATTCACCAATTTTTTTATTGTTCAATTACAGTTGTCCCCATTACACTCCAAAAATTCACCAATTTTGATTTTTTAAAATGCACACTGATATGACAGCTGTCACAATACAAGCTAACAAAATTGTTTCAAATGAAGTTAAAGACAACTAAGAGCTACTACAGCCATCTTTTTGGCCAACCTAATAAATATGTCCAAGGTATATTGTATACTTGGTAAAAAAAAAAAAAAAAAAAAAAGCAAGTTGGATTCAATGTATTTGTGCTTAGAAGTACCTTTAGAGTAGCAAATGGACTAGAGCCTTGGATAGCTTAGAGAACATCATGCTGGAGGAAGACAAATGTCTGAGTGTGCTGAGGTGGTCACCTATCTCTGTTCTGGTGAGCAGATAGCAGTTTGCAGCAGCCAGGCATGCCAGTCCCCAGAAGAGTTGGGGAGGGGCAGGGAGAAGGGCCCAGAAGGTTCTGACCCTGATCAAGGGGTCCCATAGCTCTTAAGGCCAGGCCAGCTGGCTCTAACAAGTTGGGAGTGCTGCCGGCTTCTTTTTCTCTCTGGCCACCTGTGTGCAGTGAGTCAAGTCTGTCACCTATGTGAAAATAATGTGCACCCTTTGCCCATATTGCCAGCCTGTCAACATCACCTATATAGCAAGGGGTATAATACACCTTGAATATGTACATAACATCACTTTAAGGACAAAGCACTGGGGAAGGAGAAGACTGCAGTTTTTCAGCCTTTTTCATTGTTTTAATATTTTGTCGCATACATGCATTTTTTAAAAAAGATTTTATTTATTTTTAGAGAGGGGGGAAGGAAGAGAGGGAGAGAAATATCAATGTGTGGTTGCCTTTCTCACACCCTGCACCAGGAACCTGCCCACAACCCAGGCATGTGCCCTTTGGTTGAAAGGCCAGCACTGAGCCACACCAGCCAGGGCAACATATGTGCATTTTTATAATAAAAAACTAAATATATTTAAACACAGAAGATTTCTTGAAAATACCATGACCCTGAGCAAATGGTTGTTAAAGAACATATGGTGAAATCACACTCAGACTGACAAAAAAGAACTTAAAAGCATGAGAATTCAACATGGTTCATCTGAGGTTAGAGTGTCTTCTTTTTTATTTTTTTTAATGTATATATTTTTTTCAGATTTTATTTAATTTTAAAGAGAGGGGAAGGGACGAAGAGAGGGACAGAAACATCAATGTGTGGTTGCCTCTTGCACGCCCCCTACTGGGGACCTGGCCTGCAACCCAGGCATGTGCCCTGACTGGGAATCGAACTGGCGACCCTTTGGTTCACAGGTTGGCACTCAATCCACTAAGCCACACCAGCCAGGACTAGAGTGTCTTCTGTGAGGACAGTAGAAGCTTTAACTTCCTGCACCTCCCAACCAGACTCCCTACTGGCTCACAGAAGCCAGAGACTCAGCTCGGAAAGTTACCTGAGCACAGGGCACATCACCTTCCACAGTGTGTCCCAGCTGAGGCTGACTTGGATGTCCTTACTTTTCCAGAGGTCAGTAACTGAATGAAGCTTTCCTTCACTCAAGAACTTGGAATGGAAGGTTTCCACTCCTACCTAAAACCTCTAACGTCTGCAAATCTATGTAAGATTGAAAGATTATATCCAGGTTAGTGAAACCTATCATAAATTTTATCATATCAATTTTATGATAAAATCAGTTTTATTTCCTCAAAGATGGTCAGCGTCAGTGTCGTAAAGTGGATGGGGCTGAAATAGAGCTAGATAGCTTCAACAACTTGTGTGTAGTCAGTCAGGGGAAAGGTACTACCATTCCAAATGGGAACAAGATAACATATTTCTGCTACTTGTCATTTTCAATCGGGCATGACCCTGGAACCAGTAACTCCCCAAATACTCATGAGGGCTTACAACGTGGGGTCTACAGCTTTATCTAATGCAGAAAACCAATTATGTACAAGGACGTAATGAAGACAGCAAAAAGTTAATGAGCCCAAGCATGAAGAAGCCCTTAGCTTGGTAATCACAATAGACTTAGAGCCAAGCATTCTGTTATTTGGCTTCCAAGTACATGATGGAATCAGTTTATAATAATGGCTCAATTTCAAATATCCACATGAGTTAGCAAAATGCTCAGAAAATTTCTACTGTGAGAAAAAAATATCTCATTTCTAAGGCAAACCTATATTTTTCCACACTAATTCCACC